AGGCAATATTATCGTTTATCGCAATAAATTTTGGGACAATTAATCGCCCAGCAAAATTTGTTATCGTGACAGGCCTAACTGTATCGATATTCTAAAGCCCTGTATCGATTTTTTTATTAAGGTTTAAAATGTCAACTTTCCTGCCAGCCATTCATTTGTGTTGTAGTTCAGTCTCTGACCACTAGTTGGCAGCAGTGAGCCAGCTATTGGGCTCCACTACCTCTTGAGCGCCAGGGAGTAAGAGTAGCATTAGCATTGTAAGTAAACATTAGCTTCATGCTCCGATAGTTGAATCTGAGCAGAAAAGACCAACACCCTCTTCCTTCTAAGCTGAGGTTACAAACAGTTACTTATTTGTCAGAATGTCTGTATTTTAAGACAAATTAAGTGTCTTGTGCGCTCTTTTTTCCAACTTTAGTCAGCCTTCACRTTACAGAAGGCTAGCTCATGTCTATGTAATAGAATTTTGAGACAATGAATTTTGGTTTTTCATTTTTTTTTTCCCAGTAAGAGGTTTTTATTTAATAGAATTTTTGGAACAAAATTTGCAATATATCGCCTTGTTAACAGTATCAAAATATATCGGGATATATCGTATCGTGACCCCTCTGTCATGATATGTATCGTATCGCCAAATTCTTGCCAATACACAGCCCTATTGGCTAGAGCATCACTTACAGCTCGCTGTGACAACACACCTTCATGGACCACAAGCTGAAGGCTGTGAGCAAAACATCCTAAGCTTGGCAGCTGATCCATAGCCTTTTTCATGTTAGCAGCATCGTCTCTTAAAACAACATGGACCTTTGTTTTGTCGATCTTCCAGTCACGCAGCATCTCCTCCATGGCGTTCATGATGGCATTAGCTGCGTGTGAATCTCTGAACTCACGTGCGTGTAACACTGCTCTCCACAATGTAAATTCAGCGTCTATCCAGTGCGCCGTCAGACTTAATAAGGACAGCGGACGGTGGTCTGAGCTCCAAATGTCCRTGGTGAAGCTAACAGCATTAGCTTTCTCCACACGGGTGGCAATGCACTTTTGAACTTCTTTATGCATCTGCGGTATAGTTTTGTCTACAATATAGTGGCGGCTAGGCATAATGTAGCGAGGCTCGAGGTGCTCAATTAGCCGTTTAAACCCGACATTACTCACCACCGACAGGGGCTGGTCGTCAAGCACAATAAACTGCGCTAGCTTCTCTGTTATGGCTAATGCCTTTTTACCGTCCCGTGGCAATTTGTCACGCTTTGCAAATGTTTCGGACAGCGTTGGTTGTTTAAAGGAGCCAGAACTTTGTTTCTTCGCCTCCGTGGCCTTGCGAAAACCCTCATGCTGTATGTGATGCTGCTTCAAATGCGCGATGAGGTTTGTTGTATTAAATTTCCCCTGCTCTGTCCCACCACGGAGAACTTGCGCGTTACGTTTTGCACTCGGCAGCAACGTCTTTTTCAGATTTGACCGAAAAATACTGCCACACCGCTGACATCACTGCTCTTCCTTGCTACTTTTTTGTTAGCCCGCTGGCTGCTCTGCTGTTGTGTTAGCCTGCTGCTCTGCTGTTGTGTTAGCCTGCTGCTCTGCTGTTGTGTTAGCCTGCTGCTCTGCTGTTGTGTTAGCCTGCTGCTCTGCTGTTGTGATCACGTGGGGTCTGCACGCTGGTTCCAAGCGCTGCTGGATAGAAATGCTGGAGCGGAGTCAGTGGACTGCTGGATTGAACTGCTTATATCGGACATTTTTTATGCAGGCCGATAAAATCCGATACTCATTTTTTGGCTGATATCGGACCGATATCAGATATCAATATCGAATCGGGACACCCCTAAAAGAAAGTAGGACAAACAGAACATTAAGCCACTGGTTGTTCACTGTTGTTCTCATAGAAAACTGCTGACTGTAGCTGCAGCTGGTGTGCACAGCCATTTCACACCTCAGTGGGGGAAGTTTCCAAAAACCTTAACTCTAACCATGTTTCCATCAAGGCTTTTTGATGCGCATTTAGAAGCGTCGCATTAAAAATGCGAGAAAAAAAATTCGGATGGAAACAGCAAAATTCAAAAAAATAAATCCTCAATTCGCTAAAAAGTTTTTACGCTCGCT